CACTTGAGGAAAGGCATATGCCTTTTCATTGTCTTTAATTACATTCAAAAAAGGGTTAATTTAGCAGCAACTTTAAAGTGGTATATTGCGACAAATGTAGCTTCAAAGTTAAACATGAGTTACGGCATCAGACAGTAAAATTCTGGTTCTATGAAATGAGAGGAATTTCTACTTAAAAAAAAAACAAAAACCAAAACTATGTAGTTCAAGTTGGCACTGATCTCACTGTGTACCTCAGGCTAGCCTTGAAGTCATGGTGATCCTCCTGCCTCAGCCTCCTGAGCTAACTAGGATTACAGGCATGCCCACCATGCCTGGCTTTTTGCACATCATTTTTATTTTTTTATTTTTATTTATTTTTTTTAAAATTTTATTTATTTATGTGTGTGTGTGTGTGTGTGTGTGTGTGTGTGTGTGTGTGGCCAGCTCAGCCCACCAGGAGGCGCGGCTGGCTGGCATGTGGTGCTGGGGGATTGAACCACGGTCCCTGTGCTTTGCTAAGCTTGTTCTAAATAGATGCTTTAGACCACTGAGCCATCTCACCAGCCCCTTGCACATCATTTTTAAACACTGATGTTGTTTTATCAGTCCTGGAAGTTGAAGCCTCAGCCTCATGCTCGCTAAGGCTGTGCTCTTCCACGAAGCTCCATTCCTAGCCCAACACTAAGTTTTAATAACTGAGGTTTTGTGTCTTTCTACTCATCCTTTGGTGTCCAGTGGGGGATTGGGTCCAGGCCATACCCTGGATGCCAAAATGCACAAGGCCCTAGTCCCTCGTGTCAGGTGATACAGTTTTGCACAGAGCCTGCACATCCCCTGCAGTAGACTTCACTCACCCCCCGATACTCGGCAGTATCTGATGCAGCATAAACGCTGTATAATTAATCATTACAGTGTGTCACAGGGAATGCCGGGACCGAGTCTGTCCACAGTCAGTCCAGACACGGTGTTTTCCACACCTGCTTTTCAACCACAGCTGGTTGAGGCCACAGATGTGGAACTCTCAGAGGCTGAGAGCGAACAAGAGACAAGACCACAAATTGTAAAGCGTGCCTCAGCGAATAGCACAACACGAGGTGGGATGGATGATGAGAAAAACTCGATGTCACTGTTGTGGTATTTTTAGTGTTCATATGGAAAGTTTAATTCTGAGCAAGGGAAGACAGTGAACCCGAGAGCTGTGGAAACTCAGGCGATGCCCCCCGAAGAAGGAGACAGCTCCTTGGATTCTTGCTGGCCTGCACTCTTACCACCAATAATCCTGGTTGCCTTTCATCACAGATTGGTGAAGCTGCAGAAGACAGCAGAAGGCGAAACAGATTCTTCAAGTGTGTACCAGCTGCTTGTAGCTCAGAGGGGCTAAGCCATGGGAATTAAAAAGAAGTTTAATAGGGCCGGCGAGATAGCTCAGCGGATTAAGTGCCTGCTTTGGCAAGACCAAGAACTAGGGTTCAATCCCCGGTCCTGCCCCCACCGTGCACTGAGCCGGTGACTGAGTCTGGACGTGGTGGCACACACCTGTAATCCCAGCACTGGGGAGGCTGTAAACAGGAGGATTACTATAACTCCAAGAGGCATAGTGAAACCCTATACCAAATACATAAAATGAATGAATGAATGAATGAATGAATGAATGAATGAATGAGAAATTTAATAAATGCTCTATCTTTTAAAATGGGCAATGGATAATAAATGAGTGGTTTGAGGGCTGGCCAGATAGCTCAGCAGGTTAAAGCGCCTGCTTACCCGTGCGCAGGGACCAGGGTTTGATCCCGGGCTACTATGCGGGTCCTGCCTCCAGGCTGTGCTGAGACGTGACTGAGACTGGCCATGGTGGCACACAAGCCTGTAATCCCAGCCCTTAGGAGGCTGAAAAACAGGAAGGATCACTACAAGTCTGATCTCTGTAGTGAGACCTTGTACTAAATGCATTTAAAAAAAAAAAAAAAGTGGCTTGAACTTCCCGGTCCACCAAGACAAATCTCATTTGCTCCCAACCCCCCTTTTCCGAACCCGAAGGCCAACTTTACAGCTGGCCACCTCTTGCTGTCGCCCCTGTCCCAAACCAGGGAAACATCATTTCTGGGAGTGAGAGAATCCGTCATGCTGTCCTTGTGCCAAGATGAACTAATCCTGTGTGCTGCGGGGAGCTGCAGCTTCGGCAGCTGGAGAAACACATGGCTCTGCATTTCTAAACACTAATGACCGCACTTCCCTGGTCCTGGGTGTTTTCTAATGCACGCCCCCCCCCCGCCCCCAACACCAGGAACCTGCGCCTGGAATGAGGCAAGTTGAGAAGTGAACCACAAACGCCCCATCTGATCAGTTTCCTTCTGGCCTTTCATGGTATTGTTTCTAAAACTGGATTTGAGAAGTAAATTCCTTTAGAGGTGAGGTTTAAGATTCCTCTCTCTCCTTTTTTTCTTGTTAAGCCCAGAAACTGTAAATTTTTTTATACTAGTGGAAAGTTGGCTGCTGGGCTTTCTAAACAGAAGGATGCACCTGAGCTGTCTGTCACCTCGAGATGTACCAGGGTTCAGTCCCCTGTCCCAGGCGTCCCTCATCCTGACAGTGTCTGAGTTTCCTTTTATGGAACTGGGACCATCTAGCGGAATGTGAGGTGCAGTCACCTGCTCCCCAGAGGGTGTGGCCTTGGGGAAGACCCAGGGCCCCCAGGGCCCTTCCCACCACCTGCTGAGTCCCTGAGAGCTTCAGCCCCTGTCCTTTTGCTCACATTAGATACCGATGGCCCTCGTGCGACTAAGGCCCCATCCCTACCAGCTCTGCTCCAGCCTCCTAAGCACAGCTCTGCTTTGTTTTTCCAGTGCGTATTCTTGTGTCAGACACATGAGGCTGTGTAGGAGACACTCCCAGGTCCTCGTCTCGGTCCAAGAAGCCAATATTTATAATCCCAAAGTTACGTTATTGGAATCCCATCAAGTTGATCCCAGTCTACCACTTACAAACGCAACCCACGGTGAAAATAAAGACACTAAATTATATTTTCAATCATCGGGGAGTCAAAGGGCTCTAAGTCCAGTCATGAGGACGGCTTCCCGGAACCAAGAGAGTGACCCAGGGCCTCACTTGGTTTTTATTCAGTGGGGGAGTGGCTTGAGGAGGATCGACTGAGAATTGTGGGAAGTAGGTGACCATGGTGAGCTGAGCTAGGTGGGTGGCCATTTACCTCCGCCATATGCAGAGAGGATATGCCGAGAGAGTAATCTGCGTTATACTATTATGCGATAGAGATAGCATCTAAGGTTTTGGGGGGTCTGGTGCTTCAGCTTTGATGTAGTCTTTCAAGCCTCAGGAAGTCACAGCCTCTATCTCGAGGCTCCATCCCAGCTGGCGATGCGGAGCTTTAGCTCTACCGTCCTGTACTAGGGAAACACGCATACCACCTTCAAATACTATCACCAGCACCTCAGCTAGACCAATTACATTGCTTAAGGCCAACTGAAGGATAAACAGAAGTCCTAGCCAGCTCTGTACAGAACAATGTGAGGAAATAGGGTCAGGCTCAGTCAAAATGGAGACAGTCGCTCTTCTTTTTTTTAAAAAAAATTTTTTTTTTTTTTTTTTTTTTTTTTCAGAACTGGGGATTGAACTCAGACCCTTACACTTGCTAGGGAAGCCCTTATTCCACTGAGCCATCTCCCCAGCCCCAGTCGCTCTTCTTTCAAGGAGAGCTGCTCAGGTCCTTGTGGTCTTCCACAAGGCTGTACACAGGGGCTTCCAGATCCAGCTCTGCCCAGGCCTTGGCGGTACACACTTGGGAGGCTGAGGCAGGAGGATCAGTGCGAGTCTGAGGCCAGCCTGGGCTACATGGTGAGTTCAAGGCCAGGCTAAAATACAAAGTAAAGCTGTGTTTCAAAAAACCAAAAACCAAACCAAACCAAAAACCAAGCTTGTGGAGTTCTCCTGTTCACAGATGTATCTTTGCTCTTACGTAAGTTCTTTAAGAATTATTATTATTATCATTACTATTATTACTCTGAGGATTGAACCCACAGCTTTCTATATCCAGGCCAAGGGCTCTACCACTGAGCTATACCCTCAGCTCTTTTAAAAGTTTTTACTTTGAGACAGGGTCTTGCTAAGTTGTCCAGTCTGGCCTCGAACTTGCAGTCCTCCTCCCAAGCAGTTGGGATGACAGACATGTACCCCGTAAGAAATAGTTTTCCTTTCTGGTAGAAAGGGATTTATTCAGTCATCTTGCGTATCACACGTTCATGCCAAAGGGATGGATTTGGAGGCAGGGAGTGAGCTGCTGCAGGGACAGATCTCCCCAGCCACTGGGGATCTCGGAGCTTGGGCATCTGGGCAAACTCTTTTGCTTTCCTCATGCGGAAGTGGACATGCCCAAGCTGAGTTTGGTCCAAGAAATGGGAGAACTGGTGAACGTTCAGTCCTAAACAAAAGCCAGAGAAATCATGACAGGTAACAGTGAATGTGGACGGCGAACATTCATGGGTGCAGCCACCAGCGGGAACCGTGTTGGTGGCCCCTCAGGAAGTCCTCAAGAAGGCCTCCACTCTCAGGGTACCTGGGGACATGACACTGGGGGGGGGGGTGTCATCCGCTTCTGCCCCAGGGCAGAGGGGACCGGGTTATTATCAGCTTCAGATCCTGGGTTCATCCAGCAGAGAACCTGACCCAATCCCATAGTGCAGGGGGGGTTGGTCTCTTCCTGCTGGCTATGTGGATGACGCTGGTGTCACAGGGTGGGTACCACCAGGCATAGAAAGTCACGGAGCAGAAAAGGTCAACTTTCTGCTTTCTGGGAGAATAGACCGCTCGTGGCCCAGGGCTGGAAATTCTATCTCTGGAATTTACCCTACCTGAGGCCTTTCCGGCTCAGGGATCTTGAAAGTCCCCTGGCCACTGCCAAACACATGGCCCACAGGTAGGGACCACTCGGCCCAGAGGCAGTTGGGAAACTTAGTGTCTTGGTTACTTTTCTCTAGTTGCTGAGACAAAATACCTGATGCCCAGAATTAAGAAAGGAAAGGTTTATTTAGCTCACCGTTTGGGGAGGCTTCAGTCCATACTCTGCTGGCTTCCAGGCCGGGTGGTGTGGTGAGGGGCGACTGCTCAAGGTGGTGAAAGACAGCAAAAGCAACAAGAGCAAAAGGGAGAAGCCTCTTCAGTCCCTCACATCACCTTCAGGCTATCCACACAGGCGTGGGTAGCACTCACACCCATAATCCCAGCGCTGGACCATGAATTGGTCACAAACTCAGAAGCCCACTCCATGACAGCATGAGGCTTTGGGGGGACATCTAGACACAAACCGTAACACTGAAGAAACTTATTGAGAACTTTATGGAGACTTACAGAGCTGCTACCATGACACCAGAGGCCAGCAGAGGGCAGGGGACTTTCAAGATCCCTGGGGCTGGGGCTCAGGACGTGGCATAGAGGCCATCTGTGGAGATGGGGACACAGACCAGCTCTGAAAGGAGGGGGCTGCTTGCGCAGAGCTGTGGCTCGGTTTCCCCAGATCCTCTTCTCCGTGTACTCCTGGGTTCGAAGTGGCTGAGAAGGATTTTCAGGAGGTCTGGGGCTGCTGGGGAAGCAGGATATGGCAGACAGATGCACAGGGTCAGTGGGTCCCAGGGAGCCCTGCATCCCCCCTGCCATCACGGCTGCCCTGCACCAGCTGGGATGTAGGTGTGGCTGTTCTGCCCGGTCAGCAGCTTCCAGCACTTCTGTCCACTGTCCTCAGTTCTGGATGGCGCCATGTTGGCCTTAGGGACGACCTCCTCTGCCGGTACAGACAAACACTGACACATTTACGTGTTTAACTACATCGCATCTTGGGTCAGCTCAAAGATGCTCCCTTCAGATGTAAAACGTGTCGGGGAGGGGGGAATAAAATCGGCGATGACTAGGGAAGCTGGTGATGGGTTCCTTGTTCTATTTGTCCGGTTTCTGGTACATTTGAAAATGTTTATGATAAAGGTAGGAGCCCATTGGTGTCCGTGGGGAGAGGGACACCTTTCTACATTTCTGGTGGGAACACAAAGTCCTCTGAATGTGATGGAGACGAGTGTGGAGAGTCCTAAGAAAACCGAAACTGGAGATTCCATGCAAGCCAGCTTGGTCTTCCTCCTCAGGCCTCTTCTGAAAGAGCTGACGGCATCCTAGCACCGTGGCCCACGCACGCCCATGTCTATGGCAGTGCCGTCACAGAGCCAAGTGTCACAGGCGGTCTCTGCGCCCATCAGAAGGTGAATGGATAAAGGGACTGCCATTTGCGTACCATGGAGTACTACTCTGCCATAAACAAAGACAAACCTGAGTCACCTGCAGGGACAAGAATTCACCTTGAGATCACCATGTTAGGCGAAAGGAGTCAGACGCCCAACTGAAATAGGGCATGGCTTCTCTTATATGGGAAACCCGACCTATAAATAAATTAAAGTGCAAAATAAAAGATAGATAATAGAAAACAGAGAGATCTTGTGCGGATGGGATGGGAACCAAGAAGCGGGAGGTGAAAAAGACAAGAAGATGAAATCATTCCAACTCCCTGCGGTGAACGAAATGATTCTGTGCTGCCAACGTGGACTAGTCAATATCAAAACGTTTGCAAAGTGGGGGGGAAAGCCCACCCTGCCCCCCGTCCAGCGCCAGAGCCACATTAGGCAGAGTTGCGTAACTGGAACATTCTTCAGTTCTCCTCGAGGATGTGGGTTAGAGAAAGGAAAACCAGCGCGAGGCCAGCGGCTGCTGAATGCGACTCACAGCGAGAGAGGCAGGCGAGGAAGCCAGCCAGGTCTCAGGGTTTACGACGGCTTTTGACTGTGAGTAATCTGCGCTTGCATGTGTGAGCTGGTCTTGTTGTTCTTATAAACAAGCCTCCAAGAACACAAAAAGAATCTGTGGAATTCTGATGTTCACCCAGGGTCTTGAGTTTTTTTCCACAGATTTTCGGCGGACAAGGTTTCAGACCTAAGTATGCACTTTTGAAAGGTGCCTGCCTACTGGGGCGAAAGCTTAAGTATTAGTTGAGATGTAAAGATTTTTCAAGGAAACACGAAACAAAACCTTCAACATCTCAGGCGTTGTTTGGGTAGGAGAGAAGATGACCGTGTGACCCGGCCAAGACAAACAACGGGACAGGGAGGCCTGGAGCCCTCGCGCTGTGTTCTGCTCTGAGGCCACACTTCCTGGAAAGGCTCTGACTTTGTTCCCTCTGTCCCAGCTCCACAGTGGGGTCATTTTAGGAGTTCAGTTGGTGGCCACAGCTTTTTAGGGACTTTAAGCCAAACCTTCCTTCTTTTTCTGTCTTTGTTTTTCTTTCTTTCCCTTCCTTCCTTCCTTCCTTCCTTCCTTCCTTCCTTCCTTCCTTCCTTCCTTCCTTCCTTTCTTCCTCTTTCTGGATTAATAAAAAGTTTTAAGGTAGGGAGATGTTACAAAGACCATATTAAGCAAAGGAAAATAGTTTATATGGGAACATAGATTGTCAATATTCACACAAATATATACAGGTAGTCATTAGTTGAGAGAAAAAAATATATACTTGATAGAGAAATGAAATTAAGAATGAAAAGTTCACAGAAATTTGTTGCTTGTATGTTTGTTTATTTTCTGAGGCAGGTTCTTGCTGTATAGTTCAGGCTGGTTTTGAACTCATCATATAGCCCAGGCCAGCCTTGAACTTGTGGTGATTTTCCTGCCTCAGGCTGAGCATGTCACTGGTTCTCAGAATGTTTTAAAACCAGTAGAAGGGACTCTCTGAGCCCTACCTCAAGGTGGGAAAGCAGAGAGGGCAGAAACCAGAACCAGAGCAGGACGGTGCAGTGCAGCGAGGACAAGGTGAGTCTGAGGGGCACAGGCTCGGGAACACAGGAGGAACCCTCCACAGCTTGTCAGGCCAGCGCAGGCCCCTTCCGCCCACAGTGACGCGACTGGGGGAGGGGCGGTGTGAGCAGGGACACACAGGTCTCTAAGTGACTTGGGTGCTTGTGGCTTCCCCGGAAAGAGGCCAGACTGAGCCACTCCAAAATACTCCTTGTGGCGTGAGGGTTATTTTGACATGAAGGCAACCAAGAAGTGACAAACACAGAGGGAATTTCCTGCCTGCTTCAGCAGCCAGGCGTGAAACTCCCGGACAAGGTGTCTGTCACCTGGTGTCAGGAAGGACAGCACTCTTGTCACCAGAGAAGGGGTGACACCAGACAGATCTGTGTGCACAGAGCTCACTAGACGGGCGCCGGTTGCCTTTGGTCCCCATGCGTTCCCTTGTCACCTCCCTGTGCTCCACTGTGCCTTGCTCCCAGCTCCCCGTCCCTTACTAAAATGACCACGCAGGGGCTGGAGAGATGGCTCAGTGGTCTAACGCACCTACTTGAAACAAGCTTGGCAAAGCACAGGGACCGCGGTTCGATCCCCAGCACCACATGCCAGCCAGACCCGCCCCCTGGTGGGATGAGCTGGCCACACACACACACAATAAATAAATGTAATAAATAAAAATAAATAAATATTAAAAAAATATTAAAATGAGAATACAACATTTAAAAAAAAAAAAATGACCACGCAGCCCACGCCACCGCTCACCGCCTGCCACTCTTCCTCACCCTCTCTGGTGCCCACCAATGTGACGTTTTGACTCCAGAGACACATGAGACGTCAGTCAGTCAGAGACCTCTGGAGCAGCCAGCCCACAGGCACACAGCTCTGCAGGGTGCCCAGGACCCTTGAGGCCACTCAGAGAAGCCTGGAGTTGGGGGCGAGCGTTTACCCAGTGTGCACTGGTTCAATCCTCAGCCTTGCCAAAAACAGACAGACAGACAGACAGACAGACAGACAGACAGAGAGACAGACAGACAGACAGACAGACAGACAGAGAGAGAGAGAGAGAGAGACAGACAGACAGACAGACAGACAGACAGACAGGCAGGCAGACAGGCAGACAGACAAATAAATAATAAATAATCAGCACGGGCTTCTGCCATTTCCAGCAGAAAGCCAAACACCAGGCTGCCCTGTCTGTCTCTCATACTATTGTCTGTGGCTATCACAGAATAGCTGAGGCGGAGAAGTTTATAAAGGCAGCAGATTCAAGGAAGCTTGCAGCTCCTGGAGGCTGGCGGCCCAGGGTCTGACAGCTGCGCCTGGTGAGGGCCTCGGGACGCTTTGCACATGGGCGGCTCTGAAGGAGGAGAGGCAGTACCTGGGACAAAGCAGGGAGGAGATTCTGAGACAGCTAGGGCTTCCTCCAACGCGCAGCCAACTCACCTCCCCAGCAGCAGCACAGGAAGAACTGGGGCTCAGGATGTGGGCTTGGGAACCTCTCCACCCACAGCACCCTGTTTGTATCATGACATGGCTAACAACTATAGTACTAGTTTAGCCTTGTTGTACACTGGTTTTTGTTTTTGTTTTTTTTTAAGTTCTATTGAGATATACAAGGGATGATTGAAGAATAGAGGGATTATTTAAAATTTTAAAAACAGTGAAAGACTAACTCCCAAGAATAATGGTACAGATGTGTTCAGAAAAGAGGAAGATTTTCAGTATTGTGAGGAAGACTGGCAATGCTTTTTTCTTTTTCTTTTTCTTTTTTTTTTTTTTTTTGTGGTACCGGCGCTTGAACTTAGGACCCTGCACTTGCCAAGAAAGCGCTTATTCTACTGAGCCATCTCCCTGGCCCTTTTCATAATTTTTAAAAAATTAAATCTTCACTTTTTTTTTGATCAGCCTGTGTTCATCAGTTGTTTACAATAATTTCTGGCAAATAAGCACACTACAAGCCATCCAGATAGCTAAAGTGCCTGCTTCGGCAGACACGGGTTCGATCCCAGGCGTGCTGTGCCAGCCCCGCCCCCGAGACTGGGCGAGGTGGCGCGGCCTGTTACCCCAGCACTTGGGAGGCCGAAGACAAAGGATCACTCCGAGTCCAGTCTGTGCACTGAGGCCCTATAGACCTTGTACTAAATACATTTTTAAAAAATTAAAAATAAAAAAAAGAACACCACAGGCCTGGCACAGTGATGCACGCCTATAATCCCAGCACTCAGGAGGCTGAGGCAAGAAGATTACCATATGTTTAAGGCTACATAGTGAATTCAAGGCCAACCCATAGTACACATAGTACAATAATAAATATTTTTTAATGTTTTAAAATTCATTTAATGATAGTTAATAAGTGATTAATTAAATAATTATTAATTAATTAAATTAAAACAAAACTGTTCATCCTTTTTCCGTAACTAGTTCCTGATGAGGTCAACACAGGGATGGTCTCGTCCTGCTAATTACAGAATGGTGGAGACCAGCAAGGTGACTTGGACCTGGGAGGGGACAGGACTAAGTTAGGGCCACTAGTGCCCCCCACACATAGGGCCTGAAAGGGAGACAGGTGACACCAGGCTGCAAAGGTGTAAACAAGAAGGGAGGGACGAGGCAGACGCGGCCAGCCCTCCCTGAGCATCCCCGCCCTCCGTGTTCGCTCCTCTGTGCTTCCCCTCTGCCAGTTCCCTGGAAGAGCAGCAGCTTCTGAGCGGGGCGGGACAGCAGGAAGCAGGCCAGAGCCTGAAGTCAGAATGACAGCTGGAAGCGGCTGCCAACGGTGGACAGTCGGAGCATCGAAACAAAGAGGACAACAGAGGCCAGCCTGCTGGGTGGGA